CCCCCTCCCCCTTTAGCTTAAGGTCTAGATCCGCCATTGGTTTATATTAGTTCGTTTTTCTCAGGAGAAATATGTCTGGACGTGGGGCCTTTCCCAACAAGCTCCCTAAATAATTCTGCCATTCAGGCAGACATGTAAGTATGCCAGAAAGCCTGACCGGCGTGAATAGGCCATTTCTTTCCGATCTATTTTTTCCCTCTGTGTCAAAACGAGTCTTCGTGCGAACCATTCATATGAAAATATGTTCTTCCTAGTGGTTGATTTTCATGCAATATCAAACTCATTCTTATATGAAATTAAGGTTATACACGAGGACTCGTTTTGAAACAGAGGCACAAGGTAACTCGGAAATGCAACAGCTTCGGCTTCGCCTATAAGAGATTGGGAACGAGTTTAGGCCTTATTCTCCATGTTGAGTCAGTGATTTTAGCACCCGCTGTTCTCAAGAAGCTTCACAAGACCTGTGTCATGAGTGAAATTTTGTTTTAAGCAGCAGGCAAATTATAGAGGCGTTTTTAACATGCAAATATTGACTGGAGCCACTGGGCTACAACTGATAGCAGTGGCATGAAGAAAAACAAAATACAACAACAAATTTCATTAACAGCCGGGAATATCCGAGAAAAGCATTGACCTGTTTAGTTAATCAATGATCAATCTTCATATTTTATGTATTTGACCTAAGATGTTTATTATTTCATAGTTCATTTGCCAAGAGAGAAGCAACACAGTCCATCATATGGTCTGTTTAAGGATGTCAACATTCGCTTTCTTCCAGTTTGTGCTCTTTACGTGGTTCATTTTAATTGGTGGTAAGATTCTAATTAAGCTTTTGGTTCGCTGCTTGTAAAATACTCAAAAACTGCGCTTTAATTTGGGACACAGAGGGAGGGAAATTCGTTTGGAATCTTTCCAGATATAAAAATTTGGGACCAAATTCTTTCGCTTAATTAACGCTCTAAGTCTCCCTAGCTACGTTCTTTAATCCAATTTCCACGGTACTATACATGGTTGTAATGGGGTTTTCTTATTTCTGCGTGTGTGGAGTAGATCGAAGGAAGGTTGCAAGGATTCTGTCGACATGGGGAGGTATAGATTAATATGCGAAATCATTTGCACCCTGTTGCCATTTGTGGAGCTCTAGTTTTGACGTTAAGTGCTAAAGGAAGTCCTAAACAGCTGTACGTTTTATTTTGTCTTAGAGTCCAAACATGTTAGAACCAAGACAATGATCAAAAAAGTGGTCCCGGAGCAAGCTTCACCCCTGAGAGACCACATCAAGATGCATGCTAAAGCTGCCACATTGCCATCGACACATGACAAGCTCAACTCAGCCCAAGAAGAAATATTACCTAAACACGAGGGAGAAAGGACAGGTTAGTATTTGATATCATATGTAAAACTTATTTAATTTACAGAAATTGTTGCATTGGAGCTTCCCAAGACCATTAGCCCAAATATTGTTGTTAACTAAAAGAGGTATTCTTATTAACAATTATCTCACGAGCACGGGTTGGATATGAATTGGTACATAGCCAACGAGGCGCGTAGCGCCGAGTTGACTATAACCATCGCATATCCAACAAGCGCGAGTAGAATAATTGTCTGATCAGATTAAAAACGCCCCCAAAATATAGAAAACTAAAATAAAATAAAGGTAACAACGCCCCCCCCACCACCCATAAAAAAATACGCCTATGCTTAGCATATTTGTAAAGCATGGTATATACCATGATGGCTAAGCCAATGAAAACTCTTGAATTGCATTATCCAGTGGTCCAGTTTTTTTTAATAATAAGACATATCCTGACCTCATTTATAGACAACTTCACTACTCTCATTATCATTACACATCATAAATATCCTTTTGTACCTGATAACAGTATGCATGAGTAATTTTGGTTTGTTATCTTTCTATTTTCAGCAAATGTGTGCAAAGGAGCGGCAGACGGTGACTATATTGACGTGCATAACCCCTACGGCTATATAACTTGCCTGGGAGGTCAGACATACCGCAAGAACTGTGCACCAGGATTGAAATGGGACAATATCTCCAAAAGCTGTGTCAGGCAACTTAAGTGATCAATCTCGTGACTGTCACAGTATCCTCAGCTGGGTTAATTTGTGAATAAAGTTAATCACCATAAATGGGTGGAGAGTTTTAATGAAATTGCAATGGTTTTTGTCTTGTCCTAAGCACTATGATCGTACGGGAAACTCCGCACCTACATACATATACAACTTGATAAGGCAGGTCTGAATATGGTAACCTAAGGACTGGTGTGGACCTGACATAAAATGTAACTAACCTAATGTAATATGTATACAAAGAAAGAAAGTCTTAAAAATATAAAAAAATCGGGGTTTTTAAAACTAATTGAACAAGCCTATTCTTCAAATTGGATATGGTCGAGAGGCATTTTTAAGTTGCAAGGACGAAAAATAAAAGGCCGCAGGGATGAAGCGTCCCCATACGGTGGGGCCCCTATACCTAACGCTATTTCTACCAAGTTCACTGTTATACCGTAAGCTTCGCGGACTTCCATAGACTACCACTCTAGTATTTTATCACTTAAAGGATCGTAATTTTGTCTTTATTTGCGATGCATAAAGCAGAAAACACACGTATTCTAAAACACGGCTGCATCGATAGCCAATTAGATTACGAGGATTCCCTGAACTAAAGTGACTTGTTCTTGGTCGTTACTGTGCGAGCTGCAATAGTTTAATAACTTGTTCGGTTCTGAAGCATTTTTTTTGCACATCCCACGTTCGTGGTATACATAAGAAAAGTTTACCCCATGTCTTTAGTGCTAAAATGACCTGTTTAAGGAGGCTGGCGGTCATTCTTTTTATAAAACAGGTTACCATAGCAACAATACAACCTGCTTTAGTGCTTATAACTCAAAAACGAATTGTGAATCAAGGTGACGCTAAACTCTTTTCACATAATTTTTTTAAACTTTATAAAAAGTTGCATCTTATCACGCTCATTTTAACTGCACATTATCTGTTCCTCAAAGCTCACAGTTTTCCTCAAGCTTCGCTCTCGGAAAATTGATCGGAAAAGATAATGTCCACCGACAAATATCCGAGATATTTTGGCGCCAAATGGAAGCCATTGTATATATACTGCTGAGTAAAGCTTTGAAAGAAGCCGTTTCCTTTTCAGCGAAAGTACAAGACACACGTAGATTACGAGTAGTCGGTTTTTGTTCCCGAAATTCTCCGTATGCAACCTCGCCGTTCGCCGCTCGCCGCTCAATAGCATGTTCTAGAAACCTAACTCCTCGCAGGCTAGGAAAAAAAAGAGACTGCTCGCAGTCTAGTTCCGGAGGAAAGAAAAAAACAAAAACGCATTTGTTATTGGAATTAGCCTTTAGAGAGAAAATAATTTAGAAAACGCACACATTCTTAACGTACAAATGTTTATTTTGATATCAAACCGAGTTGGTAGCGGGTGCTATATTTAACAGGGCGTGTTCTCTTGAGATCTGTCAAACGTAGTCTTATTTCACACTCTTTTTTGACTTTGAACATAACAATGTTGTATGTAGCCGACCTTCATTGCTTTCAT